TGTCGAGCGAATTTCTTTCCTGTAGGTTCATAGGATATAACTTTGCCGGGCGTGGTAACGATGCCTCTGGAACAAGTTCGATTGGATGATCGTAGGGCTTTCTTGTGGGCATTCGTTCCGACTGCTTCTTGGAGAACACATCGCCATACTCGTGGAAGTGTTTGGGGACATAGGCTGACTAGTAGTCTTTGTCCTGTTCTCCTTTTTGCGGCGCTCTATCCTGATTCCTCTTGGTGTCAAGACCCATAATGAGCGATGCTACAGCTTGTGCATCAGGGTCTTCTGATAATGACACCCATCTAATGAAGCTGTCCATGTCGTTCCAGTTGTCACCTAACTCCTGGGAACCGATGAACTCCATCAGGTCTTCGATGTGGGGGATGTTTGTGTCTTCCAGGTCCTCCTCCTGGATTGCTACCTGTGAGGGTGTGCATCTTTGTGGGCACCGGGTGAAATCGACTGTGAGTTTTTCCCAATCTACTTCAGGATTATGCTCCTTAAGGAAACTCATGCCTAGTATAACGTCTTTATGTCCTATATCGGTGACCAAAAGGCTTTGCCTGCTTGTGTGGTTTCCGATGGTTATACTTAGAAGAACCCTTTTCTTAATGGTTCCACCCTTGTTGTGAGATGCATCTGCGTTGTAGACCCTGATCTTCTTCTCAAGTGAGATCGTAGTTAGATTCAACTGATCAACCAGCCGTGTGTTGATGTAGCAAGAATATGCTCCTGAATCGAGGAGCGCCTCAGTCTGGACTTCTCTTACTCCCTGTTTGAGGTGAACAGGTAAATCGATCGCGTGTTTTGACGAACCAGTAGATGCGATGTATAAAAAACTTGATACTGGTACATGCGAGAGCGAGTAGGTACTATTACAGTGTCTATGGGAACTCTGGCCAGACCTCAGAGAACCCGCCGAAGAAAATCCTCATCATCTTCTACCTCCGTGATCCTAGCTGCTTCGACAGCTGGTTCCGGTTCTGCCTCCTTTTCCTTTCCCTTCGTGTCGTAGCTGGCGATGAAAGCACGGACTGCTTCATATCTCGCCTTGCTGTCGTCGGAGATGTCTGAAGCCGCGTTTGAAGAAATTGCCCTTGCTGCTTGGCCCCGCTTTGGCATTTCGAATTTGCCTTTGTACTTGAGGTCTGGGCATTGCTGTTTAAAAATGAAGGGGTGTTTCCCACATCATACACACAGCTTCTTCTCCAGCCATCCTTCTTGTTCCTTAGTGAGGGTGGATACTTGATCCACGACCATTGCGTTGGGGTCTTTCGGGGCCCGTGGTGCCGATGATGATGTTGTAACCGTTCCGCGTTGTCCTGCTTTGTCGGCTCTGAACTTGGACTCCAGTTGAAGGCACAGGTCGAGGTATTCCGGTCATGTGATGGGGTCGGAAATTCCTAGGCTGTCTCGTGTGACCATTGCCTGGCGTACGTCCTTGCTTCGGTGTTCAGCGATGTAACCGATGAGTGCAGTGTGCCCTAAGTTGGTCTTAGTGGCCCATTGACGGAACTGTTCTGCGAAGGATACCATTGTGAGATACGTCTTGCCGCAGATATCCTTCAAATGCTGCTGTGCATCCTTGTCTGGGTCGAGGGTCCTGTAGTTTACTTTGAGAATGTTGACGAAGTCTTTCCATGTGCCAAGTGCCTGCCGTGCTGCTGCTCTGGTCGCATATTCAGACATGTATGTGAACACGCCACCTTCCAAATGCAGCAGGGCCGTGGTAATCTTGTGTTCATCGTCATTGATCTCGTTCCACCGCATCCATATACCGAGTTGTTGGAGCCAGTCCTCCAGACTTCCTTTGCCCGAGTAGTGTGGAGGTTCGGCAATTTTGATGCGTGGTTTGTGCGATTGGACCGTGCCGGATGTTTGACCTTGCGTCATAGTGACGCCGCTTGCCTTGAGCGAAGCTAGCTCATGTCGCAGCCTAGTGTTTGCTGCCTTGATTTCCATCATCTCTTTTCCAATATCCAACATTGCCGCTTGTGTTCCGGTGAGTTCGCCGTTAAGTACCGTTATATGTGCATCTTGCGCATCGATCCTGTTCTTGAGCTTGCCGTTCTCGGTTTGGAGTAGTGCCTCCTTTAACCGGTGCTCATTCTTGTTATTCTGGATCTGCGATTCAAAGGCTTTCTTGTGCTCGTACATTTTGTTTCTGAGCACATTGTAGACTTTGGCGATTTCGGTAGTGACCGTGAGCTTCATTGTGACGATTATCCATTCGCGTATGTGGTCCGGGACTTCTCCTGGAGCGGACTGTCTGAGAGCATCTTCTAGGTGCTCGAATTGGTGTCCATCAAACTCCCAGATGGGTGGGACATAGGCTGGTACAAGTGATGGTGTCGGGGATGCTGGTCCTCTGACTTGTGATGCAGAATCCTGCGGTCCTAGTGCAGGTTCGGGTGAA